AATTTCAACAATTTGGAATAAAAAATTCCCCTTAGTTTTAGACAATTTACATAATTATATTTAATGATTATAATATTGATAAAAAAGTATATAAATTAATTATATAATTATATAATTAAATTTATATTTTAAATAATTAAAAATAAAAGAAAAATCTTGATTGAATTAGATTAATCGGTGTGACAATTGACTCAATAACTATGCCGAATCATCATATCCGGTTTTAAAAATATTATTTTTATATAATATGTTGATCTGCATTTGATCTGCATTATATATTGATCTGCATTTGTTCTGCATGATCTGCATTTTCTGTTTGATCTGCGTTTTTTTGATCTGCATACCATTCGAAGCCATAATACACTCTAAATAAGGTCCATAACATGACATTAAACTAGTAAATAATAAAGTATATCAGCAACTATGTGAAAAAAAAGATTGCCAAATGTTTGTGTTGTATGTTGTATTACGGTGGACTTGGTGGTGGCCAATCCAATGTATACGCTAAAGTTGGTGACTTGTCTGGTATCTATTTTTTTTGCTTCTATTACATTATATTATTACATCATCAACATATGATAGACTAGATTTTTTATATTGTGTTCCCACCTAATGTTTCTAATGAGCCATATATATATATATATATATATATATATATATATATATATATATATATATATCATGTATCAATGTTCCTACAGTAGATTGATGACAACAAATGGAATCATCTTGACAACGGTCACGTTTCATCCATAGATGAATTTGAATTAAATTATTAGTGTCTTCTACCGCAAATTTGGGAGTTAAACAAAGACACAATCAATCAGCAAAGGTATGCTGTTAATTTTCTATTTTTTTTTTTAACTTTATTTCTCTATCAAAGTATAGACATAACTTTTTTTTTACAATATAAACAATTAGATCTAAAGAAAATAACAACAAAAAAGTTTAATGTAATTTAAATAGATTTTTAAAAAGTAATTGAGAAAGAGAATATAATAAGATATAACCAATACAAAATTAAACATAAGAAGATGAATAAATATTTTTTTTCATGATATAATAAGAAGCTAAAGATATCATATGCAAATAAATGTCTTTACATCATGACTTCCAAAAAGTTATGCATAATTTAATGCTGATTTAAAAAGAAACTGTATATACTATCAACATTAGGAAAAACACATCCACCTTAAATTATTTCAACCATCAGATTAAGAAATTTAATTTATTGCAACGAGATCGAATTTCAGCATGTAGCATCAAACCATATTAGCCATAAACTTAATAAAATAAAAAAGATAATCAAGAAAATAATAATTCAAACCACATAAATAATTCCAAATAAAAATATTGTTAAACCAAATATACTTATTTCCCATGTAAAGCGCGAACCAATCCCAATGTCAGTAGTAAGTAAATATATATTTTTCTATTTCTTGAAAAATGAATTCAAACTGAAAGGTTATAGATATACATTATGTTTAAGTATTCTAAAGCTATTCTTTTAATTTAACCTAGCTGGAGAAATGTTATAAAGTATAAAGAGGTAATAGTTTAGAAAAGTTAGAAGAGAACATTTTTTTGAAATAAGAAATTTAGAATTTACTAAGCTCTGCACATATAGAATTTCCACGAAGAATCGATGTCCAGGATTCTCTTTAAACATACAATTATGTATATAACCAATGTGTTTTTTTTTCTATTGTAACATAAATGATTTAAAATATCCCAAAACCGTTAACGTCAGATCGATGACTCTAAAAGTTAGTATATGAGATTAAATAATAAAATCTTTACTTAATCTATACAAGACTATTTCAAGTACTCACAACATATCAATGCCATAACTCTTTAATTTAGAAATAACTATTGTAGATAAGCAAAATCGTTCTTACCACATATAATCCTTCAGTGCCTATAATTTTCTAAAAACCAAAAGTCTTTATCATACACATCTATTGCAAATGCAAATTTAAAACAGAAATCACAAAATCATTAAACAAAATAGTAACTTAGATCACAAGTAAACTATATCCCATCCGGAGGGCAGACTTACTCTAATTGTCAATATTTTATCTTTATTATTTTATTATGTATTTGAATGATGATCAGGATTTTAAAAATAAAGAATTTTTGTCAAGTATAAAAAATGTGACTATTTGTAAATATAATTTATTGATATTGAATAATTAAAAATTTGTCTAAAAATTTGATTTCCCGTGCATACGCGCAGATTTGTTTCCAAATGTGTATAACGACAAACATAAATTATAGGTACTCACTTGGGTTTCCAGGTTGGTTTCTTCGTTTCGTCGGTGGTGGTGGTGAAGAAATGGTGGTGGGTTGTTGGATCATCTTCATCGCTGTCTCTTTACAGTTAAAGTTGTTTGCTCCAGTGGCGAGGAGGGGGAAAAACTGAGTGTACAATAAAAGACATCTTCACAGGATATGCTTTTTCTTACTCTACACATAAATTACAAGAACAAATATAAATTCAAAGGTATTAATAGGAGGATGAAGAAGCGCATTGTATGTAAAATATACAAAAAACATGCAAATAAACACACCTCAAAGGAAAAGACAATTACCTCTCTGTTTTTCTCTCTTAAAGTATATTTAAATCAATAAATTAAAAATTTGTATAAAAATAATATTTTAAATCGATTTGGGGAGAAATAAACGTAAAATTTTTAATTCAGAGAGATCTAAAACAAAATCATAATTTAGCGGATATATAATACTATACAATAGTTTTCATGGGAAATTAGTACGATAACCCTTAATAATTTAAATATATAATAAATACACAGATAAACTTCAACGTTTTTTGGGTAAAAAACATTGGAGGTATTGGTCAGTGACATTTATATAGTAAACTGAAAATTTTGTAGTAAGCAAATTTCTTATGAAAAAATAAAATAGTTTTAATTGAGTTTCAAACAAATACCCTTTACACAAAATTTAGAGCATCTGCAATGAAATCTTTAAAGTAGAGTTTTTAGGGAAAAAATAATTAAATAATTAGTGGACCCCACATAAAGTTAAGAATTTAATCTTTAAAATTCTTAAATAAAATTTTTTTATTAGTGAATCCTTGCACTATTTGCGGGACCTCACGACATGTATCGGCCCGTAAATGGTTGATGTTTCTTTTTTTTTCTTTAATTTGAAAACAAAATAATTAAAAATTGTAAAAACCCATTTTTTCTAAAAATTTCAATGGAGTTCACCATTGGGGATGATCTTGCACAAACAAGATTTTAACATACTTTTAACAGACATATAGTACACATACTGAATACATACGAGTTTGGACATAAAGACGGACAAACCCGTTTTAACAACCATATTCAACATTCATCAAAATTATAATGTTATTTTTTCTTTTGTTGTCGCCAAATTTTAACTTTACAACCCATATTTAGCTCAAAAGTAGGCTTTTTATATTGTTCAATTTACTCTATAAATGGTGATACCAAAAGTAAAAACATCTAACCATAGTATTTATCTCGATTTAGTTTTATGAGTTATCTACTTATTTATAAATTGTAATAAAAATTCAACATAATAATATATCTATAAATTAATTAAAAGTAATAATCTAAATATAAAAATAATTCAAAATAAAAATATTGTTAAACCATATATACTTATTTCCCATGTAAAGTGCGAACCAATCCCAAT